ATGCATTTATGCGCAACACGAATGGCACACACAGTTGTGAGGTTGTGAGGCGAAGGGGTATGTGAACTTTTTAGATCTTCAAACGTTTTTAGATATAATATTGATATACATAACATAATATATTTCTACTCTACATATCGTCGCCTGGATAAAAGATTGTCGTATGCTACTTTCGGTGTGTTTGTTACTACTAAGTTCACCATATTTTTAAATTATTTAATTTTAAACCGATTTCACAAAAAGGAGAAGGTTATCAATTTGTCGGATATTTTTTTTAAATTTTTATTTTTTATTTTATGTGTGTTACCGCATAACTTTGGACCACGTTAACCGATTTCTATAATTATTATTTTTTTTAAAGAAAGGTGTTACCTCACAGGTGGTCCCATTATAATTTGGTTTTAACCCGTTCATTGGATCATGAAGAGAATTGAAGTTGAATTCGTTTTTTGCTTAAAAATTACTTGTTTTTTTTTTTTAATTTATGAAGGATTTTCTTTAGTAAAATTTTGTCGTATGCTTCATTTGTCAACAATTTTGCATCCACCTTTTATTGCATACGAAAAAAATGTGATACAAATTTGCACTAAAGTAACGATACACAAAAATGTTATAAGATACAAATATGCCAGCATCTATAACTAAAACACGTCAAAACAGCGCCTACGACAATTTTTATCCAGGCCACGATATGTACATACTTATGTATATACATGAGACCGGGCCAGAAAAAAAAGTTTGCCGTACACCCCTGAGTCCAAACAATGTCCAAATAAGTTTTTGCCTGGTAATTTCGAATTTTTAATTTTTTTCTTGTTGATTGAACGTGGGGGTCGCACAGTGCACTATGGGCCAGCATTTAAAAAAAAGTTAATCAGTTTGAGTGAAAAATAAAGGCTCCAGTGAATTGTGAACACTAAATACCAATTTTGGTTTACTGTGCTGTAACAGTATTTGAAACTACCCCTGTCTACTTTTTGGAGGGCCGCCCTCCTCATTAAATAAGTTTTATCTTGAAATATTTTGATACTTCCAGTGAAACTATTTAAAAAAAAAAAATTATTGCCGAATGTGTGTAGGTGTCACTGAAAAATTTAAAAAGGCGAACCCTAGGTTCAGTGCTGCCAGAAAATTTTGAGGCTTATAGGTAAATTCTTTGAACAAATAGCTAAAAATTTGTTTCATAGCCAAAAAAATAGCTAAAAATATTTTTCTTCAAAAATAGCCAAATAAACGTTTATCTAAAAAAATAACATCATATTTGAATGTATTTTTTTAACTAGATTATTATAACGCAAACAAATATGAACTTAAATATTTACATATATTGAATTGGTGTAGCAAAATACCTTATAATTGTGACTAGTAATTATTAATACAATTTTAGCTGAAATCTGCAAATATATTCCTATAATATAAAAATGACCTTGGTTTAGTTTCACAGTTGTATTACCTTTGCATTTCGACGAATCAGTGAAGATATTACTATAGGGCTGTTCACGATGTTGTGGAAATGGTCTTGGAATTGAATTTGTAAATTGTTTGCTTGTTGCCATGGCAACCGTGTGCATTTTAATTGTTGTGAATGAACAGCCCTAATATTTCAGGATTTTTTAAAGGAATTTGGAATTTGCAAAATATGATTATTACAAAAAATCATTTCAAAAACCAAATTAAAGAGCAAAATCTATAGAACTAAGGTAGATCAAATTTTTTCTTTCTTAAGAATAAGTAAGCAATGAAAAGTAGATGTTAAGGACTAAGATACACCCAACCTCATTCTCAAATTTCGTCCTTCTAACTTTACCAAGCTTAAGAAAGTAATATTAATTAAAAGGCATTTTCAATCCTCGTAATTTCCGAATTTTAACTTTCATTTGGATAATTTGTTCTTCTAGATTGTACTGAATTTTTTTAAAATAATTTTTTGAAGTAATCATATCTCTGAAATTGCAGGGTCCTTTAAAAAAAAAATCTTACGCTAGAGGGAAAATCTACAAACGCAGTTTTACTATAGTTTCGTAAGCATATTGATTGCTTCGTGTGTTTCGAATTTTTGTTTGTTTTGTCAGAATACCAATTTTTGTACTGTTTGATATTCATTAAAATGATAAAACTCCGTGTAAAAATAGGGAAATTATAAAAAAAAATTATAGCAAAAATAGCTAAACCGATTTTAAAAAAAAGCTCAAAAATAGCTAATAGCTAAACGTCGAAAATAACATATAAATCTTGCTACAAAATATTTACACTGGCAACACTGCCTAGGTTTGGCAAAAAAAAATAATGTTTTGCAAAAATACTTCAGACTCAGGGGTGTACGACGAACTTTGTTTTTGTTCTCGTAGATTTTTTTTCGCAAGAACGCGGCAAAACCAAACCAAATTGAGAACAAAACTGACGAGAACGTTCTCACTGGGAATTATATAAGCACAAAACCCTGTGGAACGTTCCCAGAGAGAACAAAATGCGAGCAATACTTTCGGGAACATCTCTACGAGAACAAAATCCCAACAAATTTCTCCTGAACGTTTTGGCAAAAAGAAAAAAACGGGAACAAAATTGTTACGAACTATCTGTCGAAGAACAATTTGGGAGTTAAAGTCCCAGGAACTTTCTTACAGAGAACAATAAAGGAACAAATCTAGTCTAATAACTATGCAAAAGAAGTTAACGAAAGATTTAGACACGAACTTTTCTTTAACATAAAATGAAAAATGGTTCCATAAATGGACAGTTCACCATAATGATAAAAGATCTGGAAGTTGAAATGATTCAGCTTTCGTCTGGCTTAGAATTAACATTCGTGGTTCTCACTGAAAAATTTTTTCCTCCGAACGCGCAGACGCCTCTCTCATTATTAAACATACAAATTTCAGATGCCCCACCATTGTTGATTGGAAATTTTCATGGCTTGCGTATTGTGAAGACAGCGCGTGCGCCATTCACTGGCTATGTGAAAGGTGACTTATATTCGGAAGGCGATATGGATGATCGCATACTATGTACAGAAGTGCAGGCGCGTTGGCAGTATTCCAAAGTGGATGGCATTGATTTTTCCACTAATTGGCTAAAAGTGCGTGACTTGATTCTGCGTTCTTTTGCTGGCGATCCGGTGGAGGGTGTGGTGATTACTAGCGTACAATATGCAGTTTATATAGCAGAGCGCGCGGTGCTTGATGCTATGCCTGAGATTTGCAGCATAGCAATAAGTTTTCCGAATTATAGACATTTTCCGTTTGATTTCTCACGTTTTCCACCGATCGAGCCGAAAGCTGATGTCATTATTGCCAATCCACACGATACACCTTTGGGCATTGGTTATGCCCAATTGGATCGGCTGGAGAAATAGCTAGCAATTTATACGAACATATTTTTGCGGTCGTTTTCAAGTGAATATGTTTTTAATAAATTAATTTCGTAAATATATTTCAGTGTTTTAACCTTAATAGGGCGGTTCTCATCAAGACATATTTAACAAGCTAGAAGTGACAACCAAATCGAACTCTCTTGTAGCAAACTATAACGTGTCAAAAAAACTGTAAATAAACAAATTAACCCATTGAGGTGCGAGTGCTACTATTACTAAAACTTGTATAAATACATATGTATAATAAGTAAGTTTTGAAAATTACTTCAAAATTATCCTCAAAGAATTTTAACTGCATTCTAATTTTATGTATATGTACATTAGGGTGGTCTTAAATGTAGGAAGCGAATTTCTACCAGCAGATTTCCTAAGCCTCAACCCCTACGTCGATGCAATTGCAGTCGAAGATATTACATATAAATTTTGGTCACGATTGGAGACGGTTGAGGCGTGTCGCACAGGGGGAAAAGTTCAGTTTATTTTCTGCACTTCACAGATGCTTTTTCATAATTCGGAGATACAAAACAAAATTTTTTATTATCATTTTAATATGCTGCCTCTGACGGGATTAGCAAATAAAAGCAAGCTACAGCCGATTTATAAGTGTGTCTCCAAATGTTCAACTTGAATCAATTTTCTTCGTCGTTTGATTTGGTTCTGCACTTCACAGAGGCTTCTTCGTAATTAAGGAAAAACCAAAACCAGAAAAAAAAATTATAAAAATTGTGTGTTGCCGCTGAAGGCATTCGTACTCGAATCTGCTGGAAGCCAACAAGTAACAGCAAGCACCACTGTGTCGACAATCTCATTGTACAAGTAAAGGAAGGTAGGAAGGTGCTGCCTTCTCGCCCCAATTGAGCTGTGCCCAAAGGTTTTGTAATTAAGTTCCCTAATAGCAGCCAGTCTAACTGCACATTTAACAGTATGGTTTTCCGCGATTAGGTCAATGAGCAGGACGCTAAGTATTCTTTCTAGAACAGCCATTGGAGTGAACTTCGACACTCCAGTGGCGTGAGGGCGCCTAGCCCCGCTCGAGATGCCCTTTAGGTCAAAGACTTTCACGGCGCAGTAAATCACGTCAATGATAGTTAGGGTTGCCAATCGTACTATAATATATAGTATTGCACTATTTTTTGGGTCTGCGTACTATATATGTACTGTTGGAAAAAAATATAGTATGCAAAAATACTATATTTCTTC